TGGAAATCAGCGATATACATTTAATTTCGCCCTGTTCGGTCGAAAGTAAATCGGATCACTTACCGATTTACGTGTCCGATCATAAACGGCCTTAGCAACAGAAGTGTACATCAACGGTTCTTCTTCTTTTGATGCAATCATTGTTTCCTGCGGAAATGTCAGAGCAAAGAACAGGACAGTGAACGAATGACGCCATTCGCGTTTGTAGTATGAAATATTGAGTGATCTAACTATGTTTGGTTGACGGGTAAAATGAGTACGCATTTGTCAAGATAGAGAATAGTCTAAAGGTCATTCGAAATGCATTCCACCGGGCTCGAAATTTCTCTCCCAACCAAATGGTTTCAAAGCTGGCTTCGAAAAATTGCTGCAGGCGACCCAGATCAAATAATCCGAAAGTACAGTCGTACAAATTCGTAATGTTTATAAATGAGGGTGTTAGTCAACTAGTTCCAAGCAGCTGGTCATTGATTCTTGCCGTTTATTCTGTTCACAAACATGTAACACTGAATAAGCGAATCTCTTTTTGCTCTGTTCTACTGGATGCTTCGGTTCGATGCTTCCCGAGTTCAGATGAGCCGGATAAATGATTCACATCAAGCGTGCAAAGATTTATTGTGCTTCCAGATATATATGTTTGAGTGAAACATTTTGATCGGTAACTCAGTGATCCAACCGATGGTACGTTTGTGCTCAGTCTGTAGCGTTCCAAGCTGGATACTTTTAATTGAGTCAATGCACGATAATGATGAATTCCAATGTCAGAAAATCTCATCGTTTTGGCTCTCAACCAACCCCATCCCATGATGCTACGCAATGGTCATGGTAAACACATGAAGGTCCCATTCAACGTGCACAGTTCATTTTAGTAATCCCGTGCATGCATAAATGTAGATCAAAATTTGTATTTAGTCCTGCAGTGTATCTAGTATTTTGCATTAATTTCGTGAGGACTCATGAAAAGGTTGTACTGTGACCGACTTTCGTACGGTGTAACCCGGAAAATAGTAGACATTTGCCAGACACCACCTTTCTTCTACATTCTAATTGTATTTTCACATTGTCACCTCAGAACCAACACACTATGACGTTTGTTTTACGCGATCTCTAACTACTGCATCCGTTTCCGCAAGGATTTTCACCTTTTCGCTTTCATTCGGTTTGTACGCTGTCGCACTCGCTGGCTTTTGTTACTTTCGTGCTTTAACACAAATTTTTGTTCGAAAATACCGGTACATTTCCTTTGTCACGGTACCCCAATACACGTCTACCACAACCATACGGCTTCCGGTGTAAACCTTAGTAACTAGGTTGTTTGCGAGTCAAAGGATCCGTTCAGAAGTTCGTCAAGACTGGTCGTAGCCGACATCCTTCAACCCTTCTCTTCTCCACGCCAAGCGTTGTACCCATTTTGGCTCTATTTGATTGTTTATTCACATCCACTAGAGTCGGCCCTTTGTGAATATGCGTGCACACTTTCCTCACCCGCAACATAAGTGCATGGAAGCTAACAACTATGGGCCTCTGGTCCATAAGGGGATAGTGAAACGGAATTTGAAAACGTCAAATCACGTAGGACGTATTGCACTGTAGGATGAATTTCGTCTTCTGCACACAGTGGAACGAAGCATAATCTGCAGAAGCTCAAATAGTTGTTTTTGCCAGATTGGGTTTCATCAGCGGTGTAAATTCATCAGACTAGCTGACTGAGTATCGCGGATCCGGGAGGCGAGTATTTTGTCCACTTAATCACCGGGCAGCTGAACAGGGCGTTTTTAATTTTTCCTGTACACTGTTTTCTACAAAAATTGACTACAATTGTCATTCGAATTACTTACGATGTACATATTACTATCCTGAATGAGTATTATGTTTTGCTCTGTGGGCATCTGAAGCCGTCTTGGCATGGTCTGAAGTAAAGAAAATAAAGAGAATAGTTAAATTTTCGTTTGCGTGGACTGAATAGAATTTGAAGAAAGGGGAACGTCGTTGCCGTCCAACCACTCGAGAAGGAATCACACATCAAATAAAGTTTCCGTTCAGTAATACAATCTGAATGATCACATAGCGGTCCATCTGTATCCTGTTAAATTAAAATCACGCGGAATAAGGATGGTGACTGAGCATTCTTCAAACGAGACCCCAACCCGGTGTCAGATCCTGAGCACAATGTTAACACATATACTCTCCATGCCCTGAGGACTAACCATACAACTTTCGGACAGGATAACGGATACTCTCTGAGGAGAACAAAACATAAGTCAAATTTATCCAGAGAGGATGAGTGATTGGATGAAGTGAGAACTTTGCGTGAAGATGAAGTTTGCAAGACGGTTAGTCCAAATAAATGACAATCAATCCCTGGTACTGATCACCGGTACGTGCGAGTTCACGGTGGACTACGGCATACAAAATCCGACGGAAAATAAATCACTTTTCAATCAAGCATTCGGTTTGTACGAGCTCTAATTGAACGAATAACCTGCGAGAAACTGCGATGACCCGAACGTCATCAATTTTGGTTCCGCAAAAGCCAATGAACTGTTTTAAACAAAGGTTTTTATGCTTTCAGAAGAGGTGGACGACTTTTTCAAACTTAATTTTGTCTCTATAAACAAGTCCCCGAGCTCTGATTTAAACAATTTTATTATTCGAGTGTCATATTTTGCAAATAGTTGCATGAACAAACAAAATGCTCGATAGTTAAATAGTTTGTTGCATTTTAATGTCAGATGGCTTTTGTCTACACTCTCAGTCAGCCAGTGCTATCTCATTCTTTGGGAGAAACTGAATGATTTACGTAGCTTCTGTGTCCTTAAAAATTCTTTTGAAACTTAGCTCGTGTACAGTGCGTGACGTAAAAGATCAAACACATATCGGATAACCGCAGTTGGCAAGTGATTACTTCAATGCGTGTCGCTATCCATTCTGAATGAACTTTCCTGTTGCTACGTATATTACCCTTTCCAAGGAGAAGGTGACCAGTGAGAATAATGCCCGTGGGTGAAAAATATAATAGGCGAATGTCAGGCGGTTTTGGTTAGATTGGAACATTTCCTCCGGGGGGGATAATCTGGTAACTGTTGACAAATGTTTGAAAATCGGTTCTCGTAGCTCGGGTGAACCGAATTCTATTTCGCCTGTTATTTGAGCTTGGAAATTTGTTTGCAAACGTTTCATCATCAGCCAAGGTGACATACATCATCAGTGTTTGTGAAGTGGCAATGTTCTCTTTGTATCCGTTCATTTATAAATGTGTTCTTCGCCACCGACTATTTATTGTCCCTTGTTCTCTCTCTGTTCGGCTCGGTTCGCCGTTGAACTGGCGCGAGGAGGTGAGGGTGGGAGGATATTGTACTTTCGTCCTGATAGTGGTTTCTTTCCGTTCTCAGGTCAGGCAGTGACTCTTTTTGTTGCATCATTTGATCCTCGAGTTGAATTGGCTTGGCACACTTCAAACAGCTCCATAAACAGGCACACTGAACTGGATAGTGCGTGTGCACACGCATTTTAGTGGAAATCATGGGAAATTGTGATGCAAACTGTGATGTGAAGAACTTACCGCAATATAAGGGTTGGTGAAATTCTCTTTCTTCAGATTCTGCAAATGGAGCCGAATGAGACGGATAGGATCATGCAATCATCTGTACAAGTGATATGAGAAAATAGACACCATTTTGTAAAACAATTGTAGTTTTTAATAAAATCCTTTTTATTTCGATGACTTTTCATGGCCAATATGCACCTTCCCTGGCAGCCAATAGCGGCAACAGACAGTCTGGTTATTTTTCGACGATCAGGAAATGCACCAATATCCATTTTATTGAATAAACATTCACACTACTCGCAATCCAGCAGTAGTTAGTTGTAATATATCCTCAACGAGATCTGGGGTGATTTCTCCCCATTAATTTTTCACTACTCCGAAAATGAGTGATATCTAATTTGAGTAGAATTCATTGCGAGTCATTCAAGAATGTTTATCCTAGAAAACAGACCTCTCTTGTGACATGGAAGCCTGGCAGTAACGAAACAGTCAAGAATGTTGAAACATACCTTGAGGTTGAATTGTTTCACGGCTACACCAGTCCAAACGGGGAATGCATCGTTAAGTAACACATTGGAACGGGCAATCACATCCAAGTGTTTCTTTTAGATAAAAATTGAAACAAAAAGTAAATAAATAACAATTTCAACGTGGCATGAGTGAGTTATATTGAGTAACGGAATTTTTCACATCTGAAAGCAATGATTTCGTGGTACTAATTTCCAGATCCACTAAACATCTTTTTCCATGTGGTGCGGAGTATATCGATATATGTGGAAAAATTGCTCATATAATCTTGAACAATGGATAACAGGGCTTAGATAGTGAACTTCCCAAGTTTGTACCAAACCATCCTACCTGTATCTATTATGAGCTTCTTCCTGCCCGCATCACCACATCCGGCAAAAGTTTCCTCACTTATCTTGTCCGTTTTCTCAGTGAATAAATAAAGCACCATTTGTTGCAGGCGAGGTCAAAAACAAAAAAACAAATGAAAACACATTTTTCCTGCTAAAAGTGTGACTGGGGGAATTTCGGTGATCCTAGCCTACTACGGAGCGATACGTCACAGTTTTTGCACAAATGTGATCAATCAAGCTTCCGGGTGACGTCAGCAAGCGCGTAAGTGTCACAGCTTGTGGATTACAAACCATAAGCTGAGTGTATCAACCAATCAGAAACCGTGCGGCTCAAGCGGAAGCTTAACAATATCAGAAATACTAG